GGGGGGGGGGGGTTTTTTTGGGTGGATTTTTTTGGAGAAAAATAATTCTAATAGGGCCTCTGAGGGGGTATGGGGAATAATCCCAAAAGCCTTTTTTAGTAAAGCGGGGGGGTTAGGGGGGTATAGTGTGAATTTTAAATTTTTAATTTAAACCCGAAAAAAAAATAAAATTTTAAAAAATTTAAAAAAAAAATTAAAAAAAACCTAAAAAAAAAATTTTTAAAAAAATTAATTTTTAAAAAAAAAATCGCTAAATGTATATCAAAACCAACCAAAAATAAATATTTAAATTTAAGCAACATTTCCATTTTAATGAATATATTATATATTTATAATTTTCTATTTAAAAAAAAAGAAAAAAAATTCTTTTAATGTGTTACTATAAGTGTGTTTAAGTGTTAAAATAGATGAATGAACCTATAATTATAATTTTTTTTTCCTTTATTTGTACTTATAAATATATATTTTTATTAATATAATTTAATTTTATAATAAAAATTGAAAAAAAAAAAACGATTTAACGATTTAAAAATCAAAATGTATATATAAATATGGATAAAGAAAAAAAAAGTGGGGAATAGGTATAAATATAGTAAAAAAAAAAAGGAAAAAAAAAAAACGGTGAACAAAAAGATTTATATTGTTATTATCATTATTTGTACTATCTGTTTTAAAATTTCACTATATTATCATGTAAAAATAATATGAGTGCCATATTCAAAGTATTGATTTGTATATTTTTTTAATTTTTCAGTCTGGAGTTAAATTAACCAACTTTTTTTTTTCTTTTTTTTAAATTTTATTAATAAAAATAATAAATTTAATAATAATTCTAGTATATGTGTGAGTGAGATTGGGGTGAGGGTGTATGTGTATGTGAATGTGGTGTGAGTGTGATGTGTGTGTATGTGCTGGAAGTATAAAATAATTAAATATTAACAACACTATAATTATATAGATATATCACAAATTCACAAAAATAACAACAACCATAACTAATATTTAAATAAAACATTATATCTCTCACTATAATTTTTATATATGTTGTGATGGTGAAATTAAAAATTCGACATAAAGGAATCAATATTATCTTTCAATATATTGTTTTTACCTTTTTTATTTTAAAAAAAATAACAACAATTGTAATAATAATTGATTCAGGTTGAACAAAAGTGTGTGTATATGTTATATAAAAATAATTATTTACTATCTAATATTGAAAATTTTTTTTTTTTTTATTATAACAGAAAGGGTGCGACTAAATTTAAATTATTTATTAATTTTTTTTTAATTTATTTATTTTTTTTTAAAAGATTTAAAGAAAAAAAAAAAAAAAAAAAAAAAAAAAAAAAAGGGGATAAATATCAAATCAATTTTGTAAATAAAATTTGGGATCAATTAAATAACTACAATTATTAACAAAAGAAAAAAAAAATTCCTATTGTATATTATATAATCTAAAAAAAAAAAAAAAAAAATGACAATTATCAGTGGGTATTAAAATAAATAATGTGGTTTATTCAATTTTAAAATTTCTAACAATCATTTTTATTTTTATATAGATTCTATTAAATCTTTTGGTTCTTTTTTAAAAAAATCTGAAAACAAAAATATTATATCCATGAACTCAATAAATACATCGACCAGTGTCAATAATATATCGCGTTTACCACCAGGCGAAGCCTCATATTTTAATGTACCTGATGAATGGATAAAAAATTATTATGCTGGCATTTCTGATGTACAAGGCCCAACTAGTTGCTAAAAACACTCAATATATATAAAATTATTAAGAATTAATTTCTTTTTTGTATAAAATAAAAGATCAGATATAAAAAAAAAAAAGTAAATTATTTAAATAAAATATTAATTACAAAAAAAATGTTTATAATTTATTTTTATAATGATTACTTTTGGGTGCATTTTTATAATGGATTCATTTTTTTCAAAAAAAAAAATCAATAAATAAATTATTATAATAATTTTTTGGCAAATATCTTTTTTTTTTTTTAAATAAAAATTCAGATATTTTTTTTTTTTTTTTTTTTACCGAATGGCCACAATACCACAATTAAATTTCATATTCTCTTTTATATTTATAAATATTTATAAATAATTTTTTTTTTTATATATATTAATTTATTTATTATTTATATGATAATAATAATTATTATTCATGAATAATATCTTTTTTATTTTTTTTATTTTTTTTATTTTTTTTTTTCAAAGTGTGGTGTTATATTGTTGTTTTAAACCAAATTATAATTTTTTTTTTCTTTTCCCACGGTGAAATTTCATACCAGTAACTTTTTTCTGCACCTTTTAGTCATTCCAATGGTTTATAAAATAAATTTATTATTTTAATTCATTTTTTTTATTTTTTTTCAATTTATAATATTTTTTTGTCCAAACATTCAAAAAAAAACTTTAGATTTTTTTATTATTTTATAATAATATTTTAAATTATTTTTTTTTAAATTTTTAATAATTTTTTTAAATTTTTTTTCGAAACAAAATCTTTTATATTTTTTTTTTTTATTTTTTATAAATTTATAATATCATTCTCCACCAAATTTATATATATAAAATAACATATTTTTTTTTTTTTTTTTGTAACTATATTTTTCTTTTTTTGTAATATAATAAAGCTATATTTAAATAAAAAATAATGGAACCAAGAAATATTAGAATTTTGGTCGGAATTTCCGCCTTTTTTGTATTTGTAAATATCAAAACTATTCATTATTCTCAAATTTTTAAAGTTTTTATAAAATTTCAATCAAATATTTTATTTTTAAAATTAAAAAAAAAATAATTTGGATTATTTATTACCACACCACAAAATACACACAATAGCAATCATTCACAAATAAAAAATCGAAATTTTGGATATTTTTTTTTTTTTTATTTTTACTTTTTTTTATAAAATTATAATATTAATGTTAATTTTTCTATTTTTATCTATATAGTTATTCGGCGTTGCTCAAGTTGTTTTAACATGGGCTAATAATAATATTGACACAATTCATACATGGGCATTCTTTGCCAATGGTTGCACTTGTGTTTTAACCGGTGTTGTTGGTCTTATTGCATCAATCTTTTCAAATAAAACCTTTGCTAAAATTTATTTCCTTATGTCCTTCATTACTGTTTTTGAAGCAGTTATTGTTTACATTGTTTACAGTGCCAACTTATCAACTTATATTAAAACTGCTTGTGGTGGTGCTTATTTCTTCAACTCTTATTGCCAAGGTATTAAAACATATCTTTCAACCACCACTGGTGTCTTCTGGTCATGGATCCTTTTACTTATTCCAATTTCAACCTACCTTGCTTGGAGAAATTTAACTTGCATCGGTCAAACTTCTGGTATCGAAATGGATAAAAGAAATTAATTAATTTATTAACATTTTCAAAACATATAATAAGAATATTCTAAAAAATATATATATATTTAGTAAATATTTACTATAAAAATATATTTTATTTGTAAAAATTAAATAAATAAAATTTAAAAAAATAATTCATTTTCCCTCTAAAATTTTTTTTTTTTAAATTTTTTTAAATTTTCATTTTTATTTTTTGTGCATTTTTTCAATATTTATTTTATAAATTACACAAACAAAAAATACAGGATGTTTACAAAATCAGCAATTGAATTGGTAAAGGAAATTAGACAAACCGATTCAATACCTCATTATAATGACACAAATATAAAGTTGGCAATAAATGAAATTAATGTGCTTTATGAAGAATTACTCCAAGTTTTAATGTAATTATTTACTAAACTCCATTATAAATTCATCAAATCCTTGAAACTAATTAGTTTATTATAGGGCAAATGGAAATGAAAAATCACAACCATATTATTTATCAAACTCAATGACATATTTTTCAGTAATATATAGAGATAAAAGATGTGTTTTGGCATATTTAAATGAAAGATTAAAAAGAATTAAAGAATACAGATGGAGCTCTGGTAATGGTTTATTACCTGATCAATTAAAGGAAAAACTATCACAAGATGAAATTCAATTCTTTTCAGATTATGATAAAAATTTAACAGATTATAATATTAAAGTTGGATTAGATTTAACAGTGGTAAATATTGGTTTTAAATTAATTATTATTATTTTCAATTTTTAATAAAAAAAACTAATGGTTTTATTTTCATACAGGACCCACAACCACCAAAAGATTTATATGTAGAGGTTAGAGTTATTAAAGAGTTGGGCCAAGTAGTTTTAAATTCTGGTGCAACTGTTACATTAAATTTAAATACAACCCATTTTTTAAAAAGATCAGATGTTTCAAATCTTATCTCTCAAGGCTCTTTAGAGCATATTGTATAAATAAAGTTAGTTTTTTTAATTATATAGATTTATTTAATTTTGGAATATAGTTTTTATATCAAATAGTTACACAGAAAATCAAACTAATTTAATCTGTTGTTTTTTTTTATTACTTTTTTTTAAAAAAAAGTATTTATTAATCACTATTCAATTAATAATAATAATAATAAATAAATAAATAAATAAATAAATAAATAAATAAATAAATAAATAAATAAACAAATTGTTTTTTTAAAAGACTATATACAAATTTTATTTAAATCTAAATTAATTTTGTTATTATTATTATTATTATTATTTATGTTATTGTCTATTATTATAAAGTTATTAATCTTCATCAATAACTTTATCACTGACTTCCATATATCTAATATCTTCTGGAGCTAAACGTAAAAGTGCTAATGTGTGAATATGTTGTATTCTTAAATGGTTCATAAATGGTCTAAATAATACAACATAAACAATTAAGAGGATTACGGAGGTGATTGCTAAAATAGTGGTTAATACCATGGTGGCCCATTCTTGTTTATCTCTATAGTATTCAAAGTATGTGAATGTGGCTAAATCTAAACCTTGGTAAAGCTGATCGGATCCAACTTCTAATACCCATTCAAGATCTGGACTACTTGGTAATTCAGAATCATCAGTGTGGACAAGATTTATAACATTCTTGGTAAATTGATCAATAACCCAATCCATACCTTGTGAAATATCTTCATAGTAAGGACTGGTTGATGGGAGACATTGTGTTTTATTGAGGAGCCAGCAACCATAGGAACCTTCCATTAATGGTCTAACTTCTTCGAGATATGGGAGTGATTGATGGTTATTTTGGAACTCTGAAACAGCAGAAAGCATATTTTTTGGATCTCTATCTCCACTGTATGTATATAGTTCAGCAACGTAGAAATTAATAATACGACTATCTAAAGCTCTAGTGCAGCTTTGACCTAAGGTAAAACCACTTTGGGAGTTATTAAAAACAACAGTGAATGATACCCAAATACCCATGGTAATGAAACCGAATAATAAAAATACTGCTAAAAAATAGGACCAATGGAGACGTCTTAAAATTACCTTTAATGATTTCTTATTTAAATTTCTCTTACTCTTTCCATCCCAACCATATTTCTTTTCTTCTGGAATTGTAATTGCAGTACTATCTCTTCTATCATTAGGGGCTGAGCTTGAGGTATTTCTATTTTGGGTTGAATTTAAAATGCTTGTCGAGTCTAGTAATGGACGACGACCACTATTATTAGCAGCATTAATAATTGAATCTTCAGATTTATTGATGCCACTGTTGTCAGCATTTTCTGAACTTTCTCCTGTGCCTTCGTTAGAAATATCATCATTCTTTTTTCTATCACCAACTGGAGTCTCATCTTCCCCAAGATGATCATGAGCACGAGCACTAACATCGTCATCGGTAGAATCAAAGAGATTATCACGTTCACTACCACTATCTATGCTGGTCATTTTAACTTTTCTATTGGCCAATCTGATAACAACATCTCTTGGAGCTAATGAGAAGAGAACTAATGTACGAATCTTTTCTCTTGATATTTTTGTTACAACTGGACGGAATAAAAGAATTGCAATGAGGAATAAGAAACAGAAAATACCTAACCAAACATAGAGAATTGAGTTTAAAGTGTTCATAATCTCTTGTACTAGTGACTCAATGTAAACCTGTTGAATCTTTAAAAATATTTTAGGCATAACAATTGGAGAGTTGAGTGTAACAAATTGAAACTCTGGATGGCTTGATGCACCATCTTTGATATTATCAAAGGAAAGTTTATTTGCAATAATGGCACTCTCTATAAAGGAATTACCAGCTTTCCAAGCGTTGTATGGTTGTGAATAAAGTTGGGTATTGTTTGATCCTGGTGTAGTGATTAAAATTGTCATATTTACTGATGGTTCATTATAAAGATTTACCATATCTGGATCATCAATAATTAAGTTAGATCTATTGAATTGAGTATAGTCAAATACTACACTACCAATATCGAATACTGTATATCCAGCTCTCTCTTTAAGTGTAAAAAGATTATCACCTACATATGATGTTGGGTCACCTTCACCCCAATAGATGGCATCGTGAATATTCTTCATAATAACAATACTTCTGTCATTTAATTTCCTTCTTCTTTCGACCTCAGCTTTAGACGACTCTAATGGATATCCTGGTGTACCACCAGCAAGAGAATAAGCGTGCATTGCGTTAAGATTCATACCAAGTGAAACAGCTTCGGTGGCACAGTCTGTGATTGAAAGAATACCTTGATATGCATTGGTATGTTTAACAGCAAGTCCTCTGAATACAATAAGAACAACAATTAAAAAGATAATACAGGCTGCTGTGGTTGCAATCATTAACCATGAAAGTTTATTAATTGCATTACTCTGTTGGAACTCTCTATATTTGCTTCTTCTACCTCTACTTGAACCACTGGTATCTGATGAATCATCTTTGGATTTGGATGAGGTTGATCTTGTACCTGATGAACGTGTCTTTTCATTGATATCAGCATCGATCTTGGCTAATTGAATTGCATTTGGTTCGTTAAATTCAACCTCATTGTCTGAATCATCAAGAGTTTTGATATCGCTAATCTTGAAATCTGTTGTTTGACTTTTGCTCATAATTTCTTCGATTGCTTCTGCTTTCTTTTGAAGTCTAAGGGCCGAGTCTTTATCTTTAACAACTTCTTCGAGGAATTGTGAATAGTCACGAAGTACTCTGACTGAATTTGGATTGAGTGCTAAAAGTCTTTCATAGCTTTCATTGGCTTTGTTTTCTGTTGTGGCGATACGACCTGATAAATCTGATAAACGATGTAAATCTACAGTTTCGTGTAACAAGTGTCCCCAGAATCTTTTGATATAATTTAAACATTTTACATGATGTCTTTTGGCGCCATAGTAAAGTTTTTTGAACTCCATATAGCTGACAAAATCTTGAATTTTACCACCGTTTCCAGGGCCTCTAAGATCAGAGTCCATGAGTTGTTCTCTTTCTTTGTCACGTTGGTAAATAAAGAAACGGACATCAAATGATGGTTTCATTCTTCTTAGTTTTTCGAGTGCGGCATAGCCAATATGTCTATCTTTTCTAACGGTGAATAAAAAGTTGCAATAGGCCATCCAAAGTATATCTGATTTTGGGAAATATTGAAGACCACATTGATATAAGTTATTGGCACGTTCAATGGCATCGTTAGAGCTATTTGAAACCCCTTCATTAAAACTGTTCTTTAAGATTTTTCTGGCCATAATTTCGACAAAGAATGAGAATACTAATTTGTTTTCAAAGAATGGGAAAATGATTTGTCTTTTACTGCCCAATGTAATTGGTTCTTTACCCCATGTAATTTTAGATGTTGGTAAGTCGGCCTTATCAATACTATTTCCTTTTTTCTTTTCATGCAAGTCCATTGTTGAAGTTGATTCATTTACAATTTGAAGACTGGCAACTTGTGATGATAACCATTTATAATAGAATCTGTTTAAGAAATAACCAACTGGGAAAGCTGGGAATGCACCTGCAATGGCGATGTAGCTGGTGGCTGGTGAAGTTTCATCGTAGATACCCATAGTAACCATTGTCATAAATGATATCCATAATACGACAGTGTAGAAACCGCTTTTAATTTGATTTAATCTTTGGTTGTTGTATGGTAAAACTACAATGGATGCAATGGTTAAACAGAGCATTAATACGAAAAATGTTATACTTGTTAACCATGGAACAAAATCTACTAAAGAGTTGAAAAATGCAAAGATGGTTTTAACTAATAAAATTGAAACATCAAACTATAAAAAATAAAATTTTAAATTAACATATATAATTTTTTTTTTAAATTATAAATAGTTTAACTTACTCTGGCATGGGGTTTAGAAAATCTTGATTTTACATTTGTATCATATTCATAATATGTTGCACTTGAAATAAAAGCGACAATACTGAAAATTATAATTAAAATAATTGAGACAATAGAGATTGGTAAATTTGCACCTCTAAAACATTGAATTGATTCTTCCTCAAACTTTCGGAGAATGGTTCCAAATTCTTTTGTTGATGTACAATCTAAACCGATTAAGAGCAAAGATAAAATTGGGATATATAATACAGCCACGGAGGTACTGACAAACCAACGAAGAGTTCTAATAATCCATATATTTGCAATTTTGCCTTGATAAAACTGATATGCGACATACCATATATTGATAAAACCTAGAACCATTAAACCAACAACAATCCAAAACAATATTTGAAACCCGTTATAACCAACTAAGTTTGATGGATGATTAACTGGTGACATAATTTTCTTTAAATAACTAAATAATAGAATTTATTTATTAATACAACCAGTTAATTAAAAATGTTTAAAATAATAATTAATTATACTTACTATCCAGCATCCCCACCCCATGGGTATTGATGTTTAAAACCAAAGGATGATAATTCTATTTAAACCATTATATTATTAATAAATAAATAATTTAATTTATGAAATAAAACAAATAAAAAATTAATTAATGAAATGAAAAAAAATTTTGGGTAAAAAAAAAAAAATTTTGGGTAAAAAAAAATAAAAAATTCGAATTTTCAAAAATCGATTTTTGAAAAGAATTTTTATTTTTATCCATTTAAAAATAAATAAATATTATTAATTATTTATACATACGACAAAATTCAATTAATAAACTTATAATTGTTAATATTTTAGGAAAGGTATTTCCCTTAATCATAGCATATAAAACACCAAATGAACCTTTTGAACCCAAATTATTATAATTAAATTAAAATTAGTAAAAATTATAAGAAAGAATTGTTTTTTATTTATAATTACCTTTTTCAATTGATTTTGAAAAGCCCAATATTAAACTTAAAGAGCTTCCTGACGAGGAAGATTTAGTGTGAGATTTATTTGATGTTGACATTTTTTTATCTTATATTAATACAAAAAAATAAAGTAGATAAAAAATTATTTATCTCTTTAAACAAAATAAAAAAAAAATCAATTTTTAAAAATACAATAAATAAAACCTTTTTTATATTAAAAAAAAAAAAGTTTTATTTATATATCTTAATAATTTTTTTTATTGGTTGAGAAAAAAAAAAATAAGAAATTTTATTTGTTAATAGAAAAACAGTAAAAAAAAAAAAGATAAAATTTTTTTTTATTTATAAAAAAAGAAAAATATGAAAAAAAAAAAAATATAATAGAAAAAAAAAACCATTAAAGTTTAAATATTTGTTATCGCTCTGAGTTATTTTGAAAAAAAAATTAATAAAAAAAAAACAACCAATCGTACTTTTCAAACCACTCTCATACCATAATTATCGTATAGATCAATTTGATGGTGACATTCATAAACTGTAGAACAATGCAGCTACGATTAAAAAAGAATCTGTGGGTGGGTAAATTAACTCACCCACCTGAAAAATATAATGAAAAAAAATTAATAAAAAAACTGGTAGTGGTTTAATCAGGAAGTGTCAAGGTTTTGAAAGGTTAAAAATAAATATCTACTGGATCAACAAAAAAATGTTTTCATCAAATAAAAAATAATTTTAAAAAAATAAAATTTCAAAAAAAGTAGGTTAATCGCCAAAACACCCATACACGAAATAAAAAGGCTATAAAAAAAAAATTTTTAAAAAAAAAACTTTTTTTTTTTTTTTAAAAATATAAACCATTGACATGCCTAAACTATGGAATATATTAAAAATTTTATGTTGAAGTTTTAAAATAAAAAAAAAAGAAAAAAGATAAAATTAGATTTTAAACTTTTCACAAAAAATAATATTAACATTTCAAGGAACTTAAAAATCTCCCAATTGTTTGGTTGTTTGGAAGTGTTTTTTTTAATTCGAAATATTTTTATCATTCAATCTGCAGATCTCACATAAAAATGGAAATTAAAATTTTATATGTTGAAAACTTCAACGGTGCTATAATTAAAAAATATATATGTAAAAATATAAATAAATAAACCTTTTTTCTTTAAAGCAACAAGTAAAAAAAAAATATTTTTTAATTTTTCAAATTTATTTTATTTGCTATACACATTACAATTTTTTTTTTTTATATTATTTTTGTTTTAATTATAAATTATTTACATTTTTTTTTTTTGTTTTATATATATCTTTAAAAATTAATAATTAATTAATTTTTTAAAAAAGGTCGGAAAAATTGATTTTTTTTACATATATTGTTAAATAACAATTATTTATATTATTAGATTATATTATTTTTTAATCTTCGTCAATAACTTTATCACTGACTTCCATATGTCTGATATCGTCTGGAGCTAAACGTAAAAGTGCCAATGTGTGAATGTGTTGTATTCTTAAATGGTTCATAAATGGTCTAAATAATACAACATAAACAATTAAGAGGATTACGGAGGTGATTGCTAGAATTGTGGTTAATACCATGGTGGCCCAATTTTGATTTTCTTGATAATGTTTAAAATAAATGTATGTGGCTAAATCTAAACCTTGGAAAATATAGTCTGAACCAATTGCTTGCATCCATGCAAGCTCTGGACTGGAGCTTGATAGATTTGGGTCAGTATTTGCTAAATTTACAACATGTTTTGTGTATTGATCAATTAGCCAATCTAAACCTTTAGAGGTATCTTCATAGTATGGACTGTTTGATGGGATACATTTAGTTTTATTGAGGAGCCAGCAACCATATGAACCTTCCATTAATGGTCTAACTTCTTCAAGATATGGGAGTGATTGATGGTTATTTTGAAGTTGAGTAACAGCAGTTAAAGCGTCTTTGGTATTGGCGTCGCCATCGTATGTGTATAATTCGGCAACATAATAATTAATAATACGACTATCTAAAGCTCTAGTGCAGCTTTGGCCTAAAGTAAAACCACTTTGAGAGTTTGCGAATACAACAGAGAATGTAACCCAAATACCCATGGTAATGAAACCGAATAATAAAAAGATAGCAACAATGTATGACCAATGGAGACGTCTTAAAACAGATCTTAAAGATTTCTTATTTAAATTTCTCTTGCTCTTGCCATCCCAACCATATTTTTTATCATCACTTGAGAGCAATGGTTTAACCTCCTCATTATTTTCTTGTTGTGATTGAACATGTTTTCTATTGATGGCTGTTGAACCGAGAAGACCATTTGAATCAATTAGTGGACGACGATCACCAAATGCGGAAGAACGTTCGACATCATCTCTTGATTTATTTATTTCATTATCTGAACCAAGAATAATTGGGTGAGAGCTGCCTTTGGGATCACTAACAGTGATAGAAATTGAAGTGGAGTCATTCTTTTTTCTTGTGCCTGTTTCACCATCTGAATGAAGATGGTCATGGCCACGAGCACTAACATCGTCATCGGTAGTATCAAAGAGATTATCACGTTCACTACCACTATCTAGACTGGTCATCTTAATCTTTTTGCTGGCTAATCTGATAACAACATCTCTTGGAGCCAATGAGAAGAGAACTAATGTACGAATCTTTTCTCTTGATATTTTTGTAACAACTGGACGGAATAAAAGAATTGCAATGAGGAATAAGAAACAGAAAATACCTAACCAAACATAAAGAATTGTGTTTAAAGTGTTCATAATACCAGATAATAATGCATTGATATAGGTTTGTTGAATTTTTATGTAGATATTTGGAATTGTAGTTGGAGCATTGAGAACAACAAATTTAAAGTTTGAGTTTAAAGAGGCAGCTTGAAGTTGGGAAACAGTTAAGGTATTGGCGAGTACAGCACTATCAATGAAGGTGTTGCCAGCTTTCCAAGCATTATATAACTGATCATAAGTTTCACGGGTTGTAATATTTGCCCCTGATGGATTGATTAAAATTGTCATATTTACTGATGGTTCATTATAAAGAGTAATCATCTGAGCATTATTGATAACTGAGTTTGTTCTATTAAAATCTTCATAAGGGAAAACTTTAGAGCCAATATCAAATACTGGATAACCATCTTTTGCTTTGAGAGCACTAAGATTATCACCGACATATGAAGTTGGATTACCTTCACCCCAATAGATGGCATCGTGAATATTCTTCATAATAATAACACTTCTATCATTTTCTGCTCTAAGTTGATCTACCAATGCTTTGGTTACAGCTGCACCAAGTGCGGACTCTCCTAAAGAATAAGCTTGCATTGTATTTAAATTAATGGCAATTTTGACAGCTTCAGTGGCACAATCTGTGATTGAAAGAATACCTTGATATGCATTGTTATGTTTAACAGCGAGTCCTCTGAATACAATAAGAACAACAATTAAAAAGATAATACAGGCTGCTGTGGTTGCAATCATTAACCATGAAAGTTTACTAATTGCATTACTCTGTTGGAACTCTCTATATTTGCTTCTTCTACCTCTACTTGAACCGCTGGTATCTGATGAATCATCTTTGGATTTGGTGTCATTTGATTTCGAGCCTGATGAGTGAGTTTTTGAAATTTCAGCATCAATTTTAGCTAATTGGATTGCATTTGGTTCGTTAAGTTCGTTATCAGAGTCATCAAGAGTTTTGATATCGCTAATCTTGAAATCTGTTGTTTGGCTTTTGCTCATTAAATCCTCAATTGCTTCTGCTTTCTTTTGAAGTCTAAGAGCTGAATCTTTATCTTTAACAACTTCTTCGAGGAATTGTGAATAGTCACGAAGTACTCTGACTGAATTTGGATTGAGTGCTAAAAGTCTTTCATAACTTTCATTGGCTTTGTTTTCTGTTGTGGCGATACGACCTGATAAATCTGATAAACGATGTAAATCTACAGTTTCGTGTAATAAATGTCCCCAGAATCTTTTGATATAATTTAAACATTTTACATGATGTCTTTTGGCGCCATAATAAAGTTTTTTGAACTCCATATAGCTGACAAAATCTTGAATTTTACCACCATTTTCTGGGCCTCTAAGATCAGAGTCCATGAGTTGTTCTCTTTCTTTGTCACGTTGGTAAATAAAGAAACGGACATCGAATGATGGTTTCATTCTTCTTAGTTTTTCAAGTGCGGCATAGCCAATATGTCTATCTTTTCTAACGGTGAATAAAAAGTTGCAATAGGCCATCCAAAGTATATCTGATTTTGGGAAATATTGAAGACCACATTGATACAAGTTATTGGCACGTTCAATGGCATCATTTGAACTATTTGAAATACCATCTCCAAAGGAACCACGCAAGATTTTTCTGGCCATAATTTCGACAAAGAATGAGAATACTAATTTGTTTTCAAAGAATGGGAAAATGATTTGTCTTTTACTGCCCAATGTAATTGGTTCTTTACCCCATGTGATTTTAGATGTTGGTGAAGACTCTACCTTTTCTGTACTGTGATGTTTTTCTTTCTTTTCACGGAGGTCCATTGAGGAGGTACCTGGCTGTGGAATAACGAGATTTACAACCTGTGATGATAACCATTTATAATAGAATCTGTTTAAGAAATAACCAATTGGGAAAGCTGGGAATACACCTGCAACAGCGATGTAACTGGTGGCTGGTGAAGTTTCATCGTATAAACCCATAGTAACCAATGTCATAAATGATACCCATAATACGACAGTGTAGAAACCGCTTTTAATTTGATTTAATCTTTGGTTGTTGTATGGTAAAACTACAATGGATGCAATGGTTAAACAGAGCATTAATACGAAAAATGTTATACTTGTTAACCATGGAACAAAATCTACTAAAGAGTTGAAAAATGCAAAGATGGTTTTAACTAATAAAATTGAAACATCAAACTATAAAAAATAAAAATTTAAATTAACATATATAATTTTTTTTTTAAATTACAAATAATAAAACTTACTCTGGCATGGGGTTTAGCAAATCTTGATTTAACAGTTGTATCATATTCATAATATGTTGCACTTGAAATAAAAGCAACAATACTGAAAATTATAATTAAAATAATTGAGACAATAGAGATTGGTAAATTTGCACCTCTAAAACATTGAATTGACTCTGCTTCAAACTTTCTTAATACTCTTCCTGAGTCTGATGTGGTACAATCTAAACCGATTAAGAGCAAAGATAAAATTGGGATATATAATACAGCTACGGAGGTACTGACAAACCAACGAAGAGTTCTAATGATCCATATATTTGCAATTTTGCCTTGATAAAACTGATATGCGACATACCATATATTGATAAAACCTAGAACCATTAAACCAACAACAACCCAAAACAATATTTGAAATCCAGTATAACCAACTAAGTTTGATGGATGGCTGACTGGTGACATAATTTTCTTTAAATAACTGAATAACAATAAAATATTTAATATATATTTTAAACTAACTTTAATAAAATAACAATAATACTTACTATCCAGCATCCCCACCCCATGGATATTGATGTTTGAAACCAAAGGATGATAATTCTATTTAAATCATTGTATTATTAAAAAATAAAAATTTAATTAATGAAATGAATAAAAAAATTAAAAAAAATTAAAAAAAAATTAAAAAAATTACTCGGTGTAAATTTAAAAAATAAAAAAATTTTCGTTTGGGGCTATAAATAAACCAAAAATATTATTTATAAATAGATTATAAATATTGATTACACTTACGACAAAATTCAATTAATAAACTTAAAATTGTTAATATTTTAGGAAAAGTATTTCCTTTAATCATAGCATATAAAACACCAAATGAACCTATAGAAACCAAGTAATTATTATATAATTAAAATACGAAAATCTAAATTAGTTTTGGGATTTCAATTTTAAAAACTAGAGTATAATTATCTAAATTTGAAAAGTTACCTTTTTCTAATGACTTTTGGAAACCCAAAATGATACTGAAAGAACTTCCTGATGAGGAAGATTTAGTGTGGGATTTAGTTGATGCCATTTTTTGAGTCTCTGTCTTTATTTTTCTTTTTAACTCTTTTTTTTTATGCTTATATATAATAAATATTTGAAAAAAATATATATAAAAAAATGGTAAAAAAAAAAAAAAACACTAAAAAAATTCAAAAAACTATTATTTATATAAATAAATAATATTTATATTCTAGTTATTTAATTAGCTAATAATAGCAAAGCTTGATCAATTAATTAATTAATTAACCTTAATAAAGAGAGAGAAAAAAAAAAAAAAAGTTGCTGTTAGTAAGTTGAACGGACATTTGTAAAAAAAATATAAAAAAAAATTAATTAATTAATTAAAAAAAACCGTGTTCGTGATCAAAATTTTTTTTTTGTGAAGGTTTGTGAGTGTAAGTTGTTGAATATATTAACATTCATATGATTATTATAAAAAAATTTAAATTTAAAATCATAAAATTGAATTACCTTTGTAAAATGGTTTAAATATAATACAAATTTCTATTTATATATTAAAAAAATAGAAACAAAGTTTTCTTTCTTTCTTTTTTTTTATAAAGAACACAATAAGTGTTTTTGTATAAATGTAAAGATGTGACAGAAAAAGAAAATGAAAATAAAAAAAATAAAAAAATTATTTTGGTTTATAAATAAAATTTTAAAAATAAAAAAAATAATAAAAAAAATAATAAAAAATAATATTTTATTGTTTTGATGTTTTATAAATAACAGAGAGTAGAAAAAATCAATAAATGGAGCAGAAATGTGCACTCAACCAATCGGTATGTATAAAACTCTAAACCTTCAAATTCACTTCATAACATTAAAACCGCAATAGAAAAAAAAAATTTACAGAAAAAAAAAGGTGGAAAAATATATTTATAAATATCTTTTTGTTCCAAAAAAAAATTATTGATTATGATTGGGTAAAATGATTTTTAAAAAAATAAAATAAAAAAAAACTATCATACTTCGATAAATATGTGTATCTACAGGTTTAAAAAAATAAAAAAATAAAAAAAATGGCTTGCACAAAAAACAACCAACTTTTTTTTTAACATTCAATTAAAAAAATAATGTTTTTTTGTGTTGGTTGAAAGCAACCAAATACCCAAAAAAAAAATATGTCCATAATACGTATCTTATAATCTAAATGACACACAACCAAAGCCAATTAATTAACTCATTTTTCACTTACTTTTTAAAAAAAGAAAAGGTGCAATCAAAAACTGTTTTTTTTTTTATTTTTAAATTTTTACAAAATAAAATATTTGATTTCTTTTTTCTTTTTTTAAAAAATAAAAAAAAATTTGATTAAGATTTTTTTTTCATGTGTATTTTTATTTCCTCAACCACAAAATTCGTTTTTTTTTTTTTTCTATGGGCAATTTTGATTTCGAATTGAGTTTTTTATTTTTTTTAAATTTTTTTTTTTTTTTAGAATCACGAGAAATAATAATGGGGAAATTGGTTGCATATCTATCTTTAAATTATAAATGAATATTCATTATTTTTTTTACAATAAATCTAATTATAACACTGATTAAAAATTTCAAGAAATTATCATTATAATGAACAAATTAATCTCATATCCAATTAATGTCAATAAAAAATTTTAATTTTTCATTTTATTTTTTTCACTTTTTTTTTTCTATTTTTTTTTTTCACCTTATTAAATTCAAAAAATTTTCTCAAAAATTATTTAATTTACAAAATTTATTTAATTGATAAAATTTATTTAATTGATAAAATTTATTTAATTGATAAAATTTATTTAATTGATAAAATTTTAATAATAGATCATGTTAAAATTAAAATACCATAATCATTATTTTTATAATTAAAGTTTATTTGTGATTAAAAAAAAATAATTCAAATTGTCACATATTGCCTAAAAACAATATGTGAACAATGATCTTCTTAAAAGCCCTGGCTTTGATCATGTGTAGTATCTGTTCTAGAAAGCTTAATCTCTTTCTGATATCCCAAGAGGATGTCATTATTCGATTAAACTAATTTATTTATAGAGGGTAAGGGAACATTTATAATTAGTGCAAGTCATTAATTGGTTTTCTTCATACATTTGCTCTGTATTGCACCAAATCAGAGATTTTAAAGTGTACCTCTTATTTATTTTTAAAATTAAAGAAAAAAAAAAAAAAAATTTTAATATCAGTTTTTTTTTAGATTGTTATAAATATTTTATAAATTATCAAAAAAAACTTAAATATTGTTATTTTTAGAAAAAAAATGTTTTAGTTTTTTTTTTTAAATATTTATTTTATTTTTATTATTTATATATTTATAATAAAATTAGATTGTTATGATCAATAACGGCTTCATTTGTATAACCATCTAATGTATTGAAATAATCTTTGGATTGTTTGCCTATTATATTTAAAATTTCGTTGGAGGAGTAGTTTGTAATACCACGAGAAATTGGATTTGAGTTTGCATCTAAAATTGATACTAAAGAGTTTTTAGAAAAATCACCAACCATTTTAATGATACCAACTGGTAATAAAGATTTTGCACGTTGAGAAATTGCTTGGACAGCACCGTCATCAACCCAAATTTGACCCAATGGTTTCGCGTAGAAACGTTTGTGTCTATTTAAGAGTTCCAAAGATTTATCTGGTGAGGATGATAACAAAGAGTTTGTAATATTTTCGATAGTTTTCGTTGTGGTGATTGATGTTGTGTATTTTCATTAACTCTAGCACTTTTTTCTTCGATATCATAAACATGTTCATCCACTATACCCATATCATGAAGTGAATTTGCCCAATTTTAATAAATAATCTATATTTCTACCACTTGCACCCACTGATCTAAAAATAGTATCTGCAATGGTTGAGGTTGTTTCATTTTCTGAAACATAATCTATATTATCAGGTGATACTAAATAAACAATTGCTTTTCCATATGATTCTTCACCTTCTGCTAAAAATACGTCTAGTTCATGTCTTTCGTAACCTCCCTTTTCTCTATAGTCTAAATTCTTTAAAATTGGTTGTGCTACATCGTCTGCAATTGAGTATACTGTGCCCCAGGCTATCCATTCTTCATCTGAGGGATCATCCTCTGGTTTTTTAACTAATGTTACAACACGTCCTGGTAATTCTTCTGTACCTCTATGATCCCTAGATTTTGTAACAAACATCTAAATAAACAAACAATAAAATGTTAGTTGTCGATATTAATGTAAGGATAAATATATTATTTTAATGTATTCATACACGTTTATATCCTTTAATAAATGCATTGAATTTTTTTGAATATGGGAAACCCGGTCTCCAAATTAAGCTACCATATCCAAATAAATAAACAAACATATCTTCACACATTTTTTAAATTTAATTTATTATTGCTATTATAAAAATTATGTGATGTGGAATAAAAAAATAAGAAAAAAGGATGTGTGGTGGGTATTATTTAAATATTATTACTATTAAATTTTAATATTAAAATAAATGAAAAAACTATTAATGAAAAAAAATTATTATAAAAAATATAATTATTATTATTTTAAATTATTATAATATATTTTTGTAATGTGGCGTGGGGTGTGTAATAGTAATTAATTTTTAAAACAAATAAATAAAGAAAAAAAAAAAAAAAACAAAAAATTATTATTTATTTATATTTATTAAAATAATAATTAAATGTTATAAAATGTTTATATGTTACAACTTGTTGATAAATACAATAAAATAAATAAAAAATAAAAAATAAAATAAAAAACAAAAAATAAAATAAAAAAAAAATTTTAATTAAATAAAATTAAAAAAAAATCTTTTATTTTTTTTTTTTTTTTTTTTTTTTTTTTTCCTTTTTTTTTTTAATTTTTTTTTTTAATTAAAATTTCCCCAATGGAGGGAAGGGGAAACCTTTTTCCCCGACTTTTATAAAAAACCCCCAAACTTTGTTCTAAAAGGGGATTTTTAAAAGGGGGGGAAAACCAAAATAAAAATAACCCCCCCCGGGGAATTTCCCCATCCCTTTCGGGATCCCCCA